TCTTTTCCAACCTAAACGATTCTATGGTTCTGTGATTCTATGAAAAGGCAGTATATAAACAGGCAAGTTCTAATGGACTGAATTTTGAGACTTTTTCTTGGTTTTTTAATTTAAAACATATTAGTGGTGCTGGTAAACAGAAGACTTGTTGGAGAAATAGTATTGTCAGATTTCATTGTGGTGTAAGGCTTGTTTAATAATACACAACTGAAGTTAAATAGACATTGGTAGTGTTTAGTGTTTCCTTGAGACAACCCTCTAACTGCTTAAAAACGCTAAGCCTCAGAACACCTCTGTGAGCATAGGAAACCAAAAGATTACATTACATTTGCCTTACAGCAATGGCAGAACTGAGATTAACCAATATATTCCTGAGTTTCTGATAACTGTATTTCATCACAGTGGTATGAGTTTGTCACAGCAAGAACTTAAATCCCACTAGCACTGGCTCCTTTAAACCTTTTTCTGAATAGAAGCCTGTATCTTTCATCTTGTAGCTCATGTGAGAGGGAAAAAATACATCATTGTGATAGATGCAGCAGTATAAAGAATTGAGAATATGAAACAACTTCCCCTCTTTCCTAGTGTTCTGTTTTCTTCCCCATATTTTAGTTAATGGTTTTTTTGTTCTTTTAAGACGTCTGGCAGAGGCTAGTTCTAAGACAGACAAAACCAGTAGGTTGAAAAATAAATGTAAGTAGAGGTATACAAATAAATCGAAAATAAAATGCCAAATTCTGCTTAGGAGAAATTAGAAATAAAAGGTAAATGCTCCAAGTTAATTTTTTGTTTGTATATTATGTTCCATGTCTTTAAAACAATTAACAAAAAAAGTACCCTATTTCAAGTGTAGTGCTTTAGAATCAGCCACCCATTTGGCTGTATCTTATTTGGCTGTGTAAACTCCTGGTATGAAGGTTCTCATGGCAAAAAACTTCAGTGCTTGTATCTCAGAGGAGGTGCTGGGACTACCACCCAGTTCCTCAGGAAAAGGCAAAGATGACTGTTCTGTCTTCATTAGGTCACCTGGGGATATGGCTGTATGTCCCTTGAAAACACTGTACATGCTGTTGAGGAACAACATCTGCTTGGAGTGGCCTTAAACAGGGATCTCATGTTGATTAGAAAACCAGAAATTGTATTCTGCTGGCGTGTTTCTTCCTCCATAATTCAAGTTCAGCACAGCTATACAAGGATTTTAAAAAAAAAAAAAAAGGTTGATACTGAAGGTTTTCAAATGAACCAACTGAAAAAATCAGACATGCTGTTGCACTCCTGTCTTGATAACCCCAGCAAGAACTGACTGACTTGGCCTGTGTAGCCTTAAGGAATTTTCTCCTTTTATGCTAGTGCTGAGAGAAATGTAAATTTCCACCAACTTTTTGTTTATGTTGGTGAGACCAAAATTAGATCACCAGTATTGGTCCAGCCTCATGATAGGAGTCGATTCATACTCACGCCGAAACCAAACAGAATGTACAGCGTATTTTGAATAAAAGGCCTTTTTTTTAATGCTGTGCTTTGTAAAACAAACATGATAATGAAAGCTGTTGGTTTTCTGTTTATTATTTGTAATTTGGAGGTGGCAGGGCTGGCAAGGTAGACTTGTTTATATTAGACAGTTCTGTTTGGAAATCATGCATGTAACAGCGAAACAAAACATTGCAGTGTTTTATGGAAAGGCAGGTAGTTATATTCTTGAAACAAGTAAAATCACATGGCATGGGTTTTTTACATTTTACCATTACAGAGGTCCTTGTAATAATGCAGTTGAGTAGGAAAGCATAATTTCAGATTATAGTTAGTGTTGTGGCTCATGAGCCACAAATAGAGCATCATGTTTAGTACAGCCTCTCCTATGTCGTAAATAGAATTTTGAAAACTTGAGCGTGTTGATATTCACTGTTGTGGCATATATATACCTTCCAGAGTTTAGGATATTATCTCTGAAGTGTGAGAATGTAGCGTGACTAATGAGTTGAACACTGCAGAGCATTCTTCTGAAGACAAGATCCTAGTTCAGGCCATGTGTTTCATGTTGCTGTTCTTCTCTTTCCTACCTCTTGTGCAAACGCAGGTTTTTTGACTTCGGGAGGTACGACTTTCACATTTGTTAGAGTAATATTTACAAGTTGTTATACCAATGCACAGTGTCAAATTCTGTTTTTCCCTGGCTGGAGTGCAATGAAATAGGGAGAGTCGAACGATAGGAAAGACTGTGAAAATATCATAGTCTTTTAATGGAACATCACAGAATAGCATTTGCAAAGATGGGGCATTTGCTACAGTAAGAGGGTGTGCACCATTCCTCATACTGTGCCCTTGCAATGCAGCTTCTGTGTGGACATTACATAATAGAAATACCCTCTTTTGCAGAAAAAATAACCATGGGAATATTACTTTATTTGGAGAGAGGTGGGTATAGTCAAAGGCACCCTGTATTTTATGTATAAAATACCACTAAGGGTATGAGAGAGCAGGCTAAACATTCATCAAGCAATTTTCCAGAACATATGCTGTGATATAAATTAATACAATTTGTGTTACATAAGTTGCTGTCAAAAGGAAATGCGAAAAACATTCAGGTTGAGGTTTGTAATCGGTGGATTTATTAACATTTTAAAGTATGACTACTTACTGCATTTTTTTCTAATCTTTATATTAATTGATTGCATCTGCTTCTAGAATACTGGTCTCTGATGTCACTTCATTTGAACTGAGTGAAGTCAGTAAAGTGTCTGAGAATAAGGAGGCATTTCTCTTCTTCAACTTCTAGTGCAGTCAGCTGCCCATATTCAGAGATGAACTTGAACAAAGAAAGCCTCTTACCTGACCGGTTGAGCGGGGAGCTGCCAGCAGCCAGTCCTGTCCCCAGAAACAGAAAAATGGAAGCAAGTGAAAGATCCACCTCTCCTGTAATCAAGTAATTGCAATTGAAGCGATGTCCATGACTAACAGCAGTACTTTATTTTAGTGTTCTGCAGCATAATTTGTAGATGTGTAATGGCTGAATGGTTTCAGAAGGGCCTGCCTATTTATCTACATCTTCATTTACAGGGAAGAAATGGTTTCATCAGTGCTTATCGAAAAGGTCACCGAGCTGTCAAAGGCTGATACTGATTTTACTGTGTATGATGTAACAAGAGTTCAGTTTCATCTTCAGTGTAACTATCTAGACTACTGAGTGGTTAATTGGAATTTAAAATGGGTTGTTGCCAGTTGGTTTCACTTAAGAAAATTATTTATTTGTGTTTCTTTTGTTTGCTGGGGTGGCCTTATTGACATGACCATAAGTTAATGTTGCTCTTTGAAGAACAGCCGCTGTAAATTCTGTTGTTATCCTGGGAGTGGGGAATCAAATTACTGGAAGTGAGTTTTGCAAGAATTATGCTGAAGTCTGTAGCTGAAGCTTCTAGCAGGAGCACTGGGAAAAAACAAAGGGATGTGATACCATGACGATGATTTTCAGATGATGATTTTCTGTTGGAAATTGTGGTCACCAACTCCTATGCTTATTTTGGGCTGTGGGGATACATAGAGAATTTAAGAAGAAAAGGAAAAGAAGAGAGGCTGTGCATTCTTTTTAAGGGCTATATTAATGTAAATGTGAAAATGTGAATGTTCGTAGTGAAGATTTCCAGTTCCCACTGTAATGACCATGTATTTTCAATAGATGGTATTTTAAATTACATTCTTGGAGACAGTTTCAGCTTCATGCTTTAAAAACTAAAATATTAAGCTGTCAAACAGTGCTGCCTGGTTCAATTGTTCTTATAAATGTATGGTTTTAGAAATCTGAAGTGACTTAATGTACCCTCTGACAGGTAGCCTGGGTACTGTCCCAGTGAAGCCAGTAACAGTTTGAGCAGTGTTCTCTGTGGCAGGGACTGTGTCAAGTGCTACTTTTTTCATTGTCCAAAGTAAGAGACCGCCTAACTTTTTTAAAGAGTCCTGGCAGCACAGTGGTATATCATGGAAGGCAGAGAAGGGATAGGAGGAAAATGATACTTCAAAGTTTTCTTGTGTTACAAATATTTGAAGTAGATAGCTTATTATCAAAAATAACATTGGGCAAATTCTGTTCCTGTTGAATTGCCTAAACGTTTTACCTTTGATTTCATGGGGAAGAGAGTTCTGTATTGTGATTTTTTAAAATCCCAGGTATACAGTTTTGTTGGTGGCAAGTAAAAAACTTCTGTGTATTTCTTAAAACAAACAAACAAAAACCTTGTATATCTTCAATTACACTAATGACTCTCTACCCATAGAGAAAATAAATTGAACAACTCAGCTGCTTTCACTTTTAAACACTTCATTAATTTGTTTTTTAAACAGTGACAGAAAGTGCCCGAGCCCTGGTCACATAGGTATGAAATCTTCAGCTCACAGTCGATCATCTGGGAAAACTGTACCAGAAACAACTAAGCAGGAGGATGCAGAAAGTAGATCTCCTTGCAAGAAGACCCTGTTATGTGATGTGAAAGAAAAGAAGGCACCTGGGTAACTTATCAGTTCCTTTCAAAGTATGGGTTGTTTGGAGTTGGTCAGTTTAAAATGCAACTTTACTAGGCAATGCAGTACAACAGTGATTTGTCCGTGGAACTCTTGGAAGCAGTGGGAAAGGCGATGGAAGTTCTCCACCTGTCTTTATATTAGAAGTAGGGGGGAAGGGAGTGTCACAGTGTGTTTAAGAAACAAGAAATGCATATCAGAGAGGAGAGGAAAAATACTAGAAGACAGAGAAGTTACTGGAAGTTGAGATCCTTCTTTCCTACCCCTGTGTACAAATATGTTATTGTATATGTAACAATCATGTAATTACATTTAAAAATGAAAAGTAATTCCTTAACTCTCAGGATTTGGAGTATCTTTGACAAAAAATGAGATAGTCTCCAAGCTTGCACTGGAAAGTAATATTTACAGTATTAAAAGGGCTATGTTTGTAACTAAAAAGATACAATCCAGTGTTTTCATGGGGATATGTGAGGCAACAG